CAAATATTTTCCCGTCCGGCCCTCCCACTCAGTCAATAAGTACATAGTAAAAAACTCGGTCATAACTCATAATTACGGTACGGACCTCGCACTCGGTCGATGAGAGCTATGTACTCTATATCCCATGCAACATTTGCGTTAATTATCTAATCGATCCTTACTTCTTACAAAAGAGCTTAGCCATTTTATCTCCCATTCTGATTTCTGGACATTTGCATATTTAGATTTTTGCATTGTACTGAGTAATTCTGTAAAAGGGTCATTGTTTTTGAAATTCATCAACTTCCATTACACTCTATACTAGGTGGAATGCTTGTAATGTTGTTCAATGTTTTCTGTTGGCAGGTATAGTTGCCATGGATTTATCAAAAGATTCTTGCTCTAAAAAACCCAAGGAAGAAGCAGGATTTTTTTCTCTTTTATTTCTATCATGGATGAACAATCTTCTATATACTGGTTATAAACGGCCTTTGCAGGATAATGATTTGCACGAGTTATCAGATGACCATTATGCCGAAGAAATAGCAGAACAAATTGACGATGAATGGGAAGATGAGGTCATGAATGCCAAGAAGAGTAGATGACAACCTCGTCTATGGCGAGCGGTGCTTAAGATATTCCCATTGCAACAATATGTGTATTTCCTGGTATTGAAATTTATGCACACAGCCATGGACTTCATATTTCCAGTTCTACTTTGGTTTTACCTCAGGACTCTCAAGGAGGATTTCCAGCACTACCAAAAGTATGCTACTCTTTCTGCTGCTGGGATCAGTGTTGCTGTATTAATTCGAGTGTTTGCCGGCAAACATCATGATCTTCAAACAAGATCTATGGCAATGAATCTCAAAATAGCATTGATTGGACTAATCCACAAAAAGGTATCCATTTAGCTATCTTTACGAGTGTATGCTACAGTGAGGACACTCGAACCGTGAAAACTTCGAGTTCTTCAGGATATTATCCCCTAACTTTCTACTTTTCCAAACCCTCTAATATGAAGTGACACACTGAGTGATCAAAATAAACCCTTTTTCAATTAATTGGCTCAAGAGATGATGTACAGTATGCATTTTTTTATCTGGACAAAAAAAATTTTTTAACAATTATTCGCCGAAGGCGAAGTGAATATCGGGTAATATTTATCGAGACGCGAATATTGGAGCGGCGAGGTAAACATTCTCCGATATTCACTTAGGCTGAGGCTAATAATTGTTTTAGTATAAATACACAGATGATTCTTATAAAAAAAGAAAAAATTTTAAGATAAAAGACATTATTTTCCGGTAACAGCAACAAAGCGGCTGGCCGCCATTTTGGATTTTCGCTGGAGGTGATTATCGTGTGATAGTGTGAGTTTCTCGACCAGTCAGCGCGCGAGATTCTCAATAATCACCTCTGTATTTTTACTAAACTGTTATAACGGTTCGAGTGTCCTCACAGTAAAGGGGTACTCCACCCCAGTCCACTTTAAAATAAGATATTTATAAAAGAAATGTTTCGATAAAGTTTGACTGGCAAATTCCAAATAGATTGAACAATAAACTATGTATTTTAATTAAAGTCAATAATTTGAAGAAAGAGTTGCAGCATTGCAATAATATACATTGAAACAATATACTCCACGACACGAAGTCATTCTGTAGAAAAATTTCATGGAACTTTTTAAGAATGGGCTGTAAACTATATGCCCTAACTGCAACTAACTGCCGCTCTATTACATGCCGACAGTATTTTGCGACCATTTGTTTCAATCTTTGAAGTTCAATTGCACCAAAACTATTTGGCATTTGCCAGCCAAACTAATTTGTCAACGTTTTAGTCAAATAGTACCTTTATTTAAAAGGGGACCCATTCCAGGAATTGAGTTCCCTACACATTAACAGCTACAATTGTCTTCCCTAGAAGACCCCAAGCGATCTATGCGAAACGCTTTCAAACCTATGCGTAGATCCCTTACTCGCGGCGACCCTACAATTCCTGGTTACGTTTAATTTAAGATTCTAAGCTCAGCCATGAAAAATGCACAGTCAAATCAGAAACACCTTAAAGAGTCGGTGTTAGACGGATTTTCGCCTCTCACTATGCAAAACGAAACTACAGAAGAGGTCAGGGGGCATGCTCCCAATTCCTTTTGAAGGATCTAGGCATGTACTTTAATTTGCAGCTAGTATAAAATAAGATCAATAACACAACAAATCAATACTGTGCTTTGTTATTCAACTTACAGGTTCTGCAATCACAACGCTACATCCTGTCTTCAGTCACAACGGGTCACATCCAAAACCTCATGTGATGTGCAAAGAATGGAAGAGTCGTACATGGTGATATCATACTTGATAATGACGCCATTCAATATTGTCATGTCATTGGGCGTGTTGCTTTTATTCATTGGTTGGCAGTCTTTATGTGGTGTTATACTTCTTCTCTTTTTTGTTATTTTCTCCTTTTCTATGGCCAAAAAGTACGCCACGTTGCGTAGAAAGCAAGCTGAGTTGACAGATCAGCGCCTAGGTATTTTGCACGAAATCGTCTCAGGGATTCGAGCTGTAAAGACTTACGCTTGGGAACAGAGTTTTATGAACTTGATAAAAGTTGTGAGAAGGTAAGTTGACTTGTATATATTGCTGTAATCCGATCTCAAACTGAAAAAAAACAAGATTCTGTGAGACGACATTTGCTATTTTAAATTAAGACTGCTTCAATAAATTCAGGGCGTCTAGTAAAATGAACATATGATATGATATGAAGATATGTGAGAACTTCAAGGCAATCCATTCAATGGTAATATTTGTACAGTGCGTAGTTTTATATGCTTCAAATTTTGGATCGAATTTTCAAGCGGCGCCATAACATTTTTTATACTCTAAACTTTCTTTCCAAATTTATACGCAGGCTGCATAAGTACTAGATGGTAAGATTCAGAAAAATTTCAGAAAAATCGTACCTGAGAATGAGGAGAAAAAAAGCCAAAAACTAAAAATAACACTGTTTGATTTTCGGCCGTAACAGGCTAAACACTTAAAAAATCGTACAATAAAATACACTGTTAGAATCTAGGATAATTAAAACACATTTCAAAAGTTTATTTWAATTGACGCACTAGTTTTGCGTAGCGAGCAAGAATCAAATTGTCCAAAATTCGCTCTGAATTAGATTCATTGGATCCATCTTTAGCATCCACCAAATCCTGAATCTCTCTTACGAAATGATTTCTCTGTATTCCTGAAGTAATTGCTATCAAATATATTTAGGCACTGCCTAAAAGCGGAGCTCCCGATACGCAAGTCACAGGGAGCCCAATTTGAATGAATGTGGAAGATAAAATTAAAATCGGAAAAAAATCTTCAATTTTTTTTTCAATATTAAGATAATGTCTCCCATAATAAAAAACATGCACTGAAAACGAATCAAAATTCACTACATCGTTTTCTTTGCGCGAGAATACTCTCCAACTTATATGAATTTTGTACACAACTCACCACCAACCCCCCCAGGGGCTAGTTTTTTTCTTGGAAGATTCTTTTCGACAAAGTTTTCCAAGGCCGACAGTTTTAGGCTTTGAATCTCTTTTTCTTAAAACAAAAAACAAAAACGAAAGATAACTACATATAATCCAATACAATATCAAGTTTACTGAAATTTTGGAGATTTCCGAACTTTTATGGACAAATCAAGCCGGTATCAATTAAGCCTTTAATTATATAGCTTCTCATTAATCCCATATAGGTAACTGTCCAATTATTTTCCTAATTGGACAGGTCTTGTTGATATGGGATTAATTAGGCAGCTATATAATTAATAGGTAATGGGATTTCATGCTCCCCAATCAAGAAATAATTCTCGAAATATTCCTCTGACTGCCAAATTAGACTCGGCCTACGCCCTCATCCAATTTTGGAAGTCCTCCGAATTTTCCTCTTCCAATTATGCATGGAGTCCTATTATTATTTTTTATTATTATTTCCCAGTTTTTGACGATTTTCCTTTCACATCAGGCTTGCTTTTCACGTCATGCATTCTTTATCTTTTTCAGGAAAGAAATTGACTTCGTCGTTCGCAAAACCATATTCTACTCACTAAATACTTCAGTTAATGATACTTTCAATGAGGTCACGACGCTGGTAGCCATAGTAGCATTGATTTACTCAGGAATTCATCTTTTTTCCTATCATATATTTACTATGGCTACGATATTTCAAAATCTAACTAACTATATAACTTATAACATCGATTACTGCTATCGTTATATTCAAGACATAACATCTCATTGCAGAGAATAGAAAAGTTCTTGTTAGAAAAAGACTTGGATTTTGAACTAGAACTCAGTCTTTTTGAAGCTTCAGATCAAGTTTCAGGTATGACTAGCAAAATCGATAACTGTATGATGCTAAAAGGCCTATCAGCAGCATGGAGCACTAGTCAGCAAAATGTGATTCATGATATCACTCTCAAAGTTAGTCCACATCAGTTGATGGTTATCACAGGTCCTGTTGGCAGCGGAAAGTCTTCTTTACTGATGGCTATGCAGAGAGAGATTCCCATAACATCTGGAAAAATTTCATTTCATGGTAAGATGGCTTATGTTTCACAAGTACCTTGGACATTTTCTGGGACGGTGCGTGATAATATTGTCTTTGGAAAAACCTTTGATAAGATGAAATATCAAAGGATTCTTGACCTTAGCGGTTTGCAGAAGGATATGAAAAGATTYCCAAAAGGAGATCTAAGCATGATTGGTCAACGTGGTGTCGTCCTGAGTGGTGGTCAGCGGTCTCGTGTCAGTCTAGCACGCGCAATGTATTCAGAAGCAGAGATAGTTTTACTTGACGACCCATTGAGTGCCGTGGATGCTAAAGTTGGTCAACAGATCTTTGAAAAGTGTGTTTGTGAAGAGTTGTCAGGTAGTCTTAGAATTCTAGTTACACATCAGTTGCAGTATCTTCCTCGAGCCGACTGGATAGTTATAATAAAAGATGGTCGTATTTAAGACCAAGGATCGTACGAGGAACTAAAAGCAAGAGGAATGACACAACAGGAACATGTAATTGAAGTTGCTGCAAGTAACAATTCTGCTGCTGATAGAGCAGCGTTCATTCGAACCTCGAAACACGAAGAACCAGATGAGAAAGAATCATGCGACCTGGTGGAAGAGGAGGAAGAGAAAGATATTGGTCACGTGACATGGCGCCTGTACTGGTCTTTCTTTAGAACTGGATCCAACAGTGTGTCTATATTAAGCTTTGCCTTCTTCTACCTACTCGTACAAGGTACTAAGAACTTTGAGTGACATTATTTCTTTTTACAAGACTTGTGCATCATTCCGAGGGTAGAACTGTTTGTATATAATAGGGGAAAGTATAGAGGCTTTGCACCACCACGTGATGGCAGCCATGACAGTAGGCACAACAATAAAGTCTTTCTCCCTTGGGAAACTGAATTCTTTCTAATGTAAATCGGATTAGACCAGATTCAATTGTTCCTGCCTCCTGTAATGGCTGCCATCACGTGATGATGCAAAGCCTCTATAGGGGATGCTCCTTGTTTGTCAAAAATGAACATAACCATACAACTACTGGCAACAAGCAAGCCAACAAATGACCCGGCCAAATACCCAGCAAACCATTGGACTAATCTTTAAAACCGCGCCCTCCCCACCACGAGAAAAAACTGACAATGCAGTTGTGTATGTGACGCAATCAACACTCCCAAAAGCGATACTGAGTCGTAACTATCTTTGTGGGAAAAAGTAAAATGTTAACTCTCCATTCTTTTGAAGGTGGTCTAGTACGAAAATTGTTCGAATTTTAATTCGGTTAAAACTTTACTGGAATAATCCTTAAGGGTCTAATAATAACTGATTAAAGTTTGTTGTTGATATTCCGATGGGAAGTATTATAGGTTATTAAAATTTTTTACAGAGTTTGTCTACTATAACACCAAACATCGCTCTATACATTTCTTTGTCTTTTAATTTTTATTTTTTTGATCAAAATATCCGCTAGTTTTATGCTCAGTATTGAGGAAAAGAGACGAAACAATTGATTGTTATCACAAGTAATGTGCGGTTAAGTCCCTCAGGCGACCTTTGGGCATCTATAGAAATAAAAGAAATCCTTAAGTTATTAATGAAGAAATGTAAGGAGCGATGTTTTGGTTTTGAGTAGATGACCTCACAGACCCTATAAACTTTTGTAAAGATAATTCTTCCAGTCGGAATATCAAGACCAAACTTCAACTAGTAATTGTAAGACCCTTCAGGGGCGGATCCAGGAAGGGGCAAAGAGTGGCTGCAGCCATCACCCTCTTCAGAACGTTGGTTAGATTTCTTGAAGTGGAATAGAAAGCATATTTTTCAGCTGAACTAAATTTTGAACAATTTTCGTACTAGATCCTTTATTACTTTGATATTTTTCATTTTCATACTTTTGCTTTCTCACTTTTCCCCCTCAAAGCATTCATTTTTGCTACAAGCATTTTTCAAGCATTCCTGGCTAACATGTCCTACAGCGCACAGAGGAACTCGAGAACCGTTTTGGAATATTTTGGTCTGGTGTGCGTATCGTTTGGTTTGGTTACCCTACGAAGTTTCCTTTCCTACTACCTCGTAATCAAGTCATCTAGAAACCTTCACGCAAACATGATGGAAGCAGTGATCAAGTCTCCAGTGCTGTTCTTTGATACCAATCCAACGGGACGAATAATGAATCGCTTTTCAAGAGACATTGGCATCATTGATGATGAGCTTCCTAGACGATATGGTACGGCTTTGCCGATTATCGTCAAGTGCCTGGGAGTGGTTGTGATGACAACAGTCGTCAACTTGTGGTTTCTGCTAGTAGTAATACCACTTGTAATACTTTCTTATTATTTCTCTTGCTATTACCTCAAAACATCTCGTGAGCTGACCCGAATGGTAGCAATTCGCTACAGTCCCGTGTATTCGCACATCACTGAAACAATAAGAGGGCTAGAAGTCATTCGTACGTCGCATAGGGAAGAATGGTTTGTCAATGAATTGATCAGGTATATATTTTATTCTATCTAATATTAGCAACCTACTCTTGGTAAAGATGAAGAAATTTATTTTTGTTAACATTTATTAACATGTAATAAACATTCGTACTTTCAGACTTCAAAACCAGCACACCAAGGCTTTCTATCTGGTTGTCGCCTCGAAACAATGGTTTGCACTTCGTTTTGATATCCTGGTCGCATGTATTGTCATAGGCGTGGCCTTCATTGGTTTGTTTGCCATTGAGGACAAAGGTAGAATGCAAAATGTCATTGGTATAGAAGRGGMTGGACGTCCATGATAAACCAGCAACGTTTTAATGCAATTACTACCTATATACCAATATACATAATATACATTAAAAATGTCGTAACAATAATCTATTTTGCATACTCCCAAATTTAAGAGCATTATATAGTTACCATGCTATCAAAAATTGTTGTGGAATGAAATCGTTGCCTACAAATAATGTTCCGCCGCAACAGAGTCCTGTGAATATCAACTTTGTGTTGCAAAGCCATCAGTAAGTCTACAAAATTTTGTTTTTTCAGAATATCTGATATATCTGTTTATTTCTTTTTTCCGTACAGCTTTGGTAGGTATGCTGTTAACCCTAGCAGCATCTCTTCTTGGATCAGTTGAGTACGCACTACGCATGGCATGCGACTTAGAAAACAACATGACGTCAGTCGAGAGAGTCATGACGTATTGTTCTCTTCCATCAGAACCAGGTTACAACAGACAAGATATTAAGACAAAAACCTGGCCTGAACAGGGTATGCTTAAACTACAGGACGTGTCTCTACAGTATGTACAAAATGGGATAAAAGTGTTGGAAGATATCAACTTACTAATCCAACCGAGAGAAAAAATAGGTATCGTAGGACGTACAGGAGCAGGCAAGTCATCCTTGATAGCCGCCATTTTACGTATGCCAGAGCCTCAAGGACGGGTTTTTATTGATGGTATAGACCTGGGTACCATTAATATCCAGACTGCACGGACATCAGTAGCTGTCATATCCCAAGACTCTTTTCTTTTTTCTGGACGTCTTAGAAGAACTTTGGATCCATTTAATAGTTTTACAGATCAACAAATCTGGACAGCACTTGAGCAGGTCCAGGTGAGTGAAATGGTGTACAACATTCCTGATCAACTAGATTACTACATAGGAGAGTTTGGAACTGGTTTTAGCGCAGGTGAGCGACAACTTCTTTGTCTTGCAAGAGCTTTACTAGAGAAACGTCAAATAATGATCATGGATGAAGCAACAGCCAACGTAGACTACAAAACTGACCAGTTAATTCAACATGTTATACGAAACCAGTTCAAGAACCAAACGGTACTAACCATAGCACATCGAATCAACACAGTTATAGACTACGATAAAGTAATAGTTATGGACCGAGGTCATGTGATGGAGTACGATAATCCGGTGGTGCTTGCCGAGAAAAGGGACAGCATTTTTCACGAACTTTTGAAGAATCAGGGAACATTGACCAAATAGATAAACTTACTTTTTGTACCAGCCTGCATTTTGTGTAGAGAGGGAAATCAAGAGGTTTCTTTGCCTGCTTGAGTTGTTATTTTGTTAACGCTAGTCGTGGGCCTTATTTTTGAAATGGTCTCTGGCAGACTGGTAGTATAGGAAATCATATGGTTCCAAGTGCAATTTTCAACAATTTTTTGAAAATTTGAGCAAATGAGTTTTTCATACAAGACTGCGCTCGTTGCGCTCAGTGAGCCCGTAGAACGATAGGAATTTGCAGTCAAATTTCTCCTGAATTGAACAAGAAAACTTTACCCATATGATCCTTTTGTTATTAAGGACGGTGGTGTAGAATCATAATAGTGAGGGGTACTTTAACGTTGACACTAATGACGTAAGCATTTTTTAATTGGATTGGTTTTGCCAATGTTCTTGAGTATATATTTTTAGTTTATTTCTACTAAATAAATGAATAAATAAATAAATAGATCATTTACACTTGTATCGCTTATCGCACATGTATAAACATATTCAAATTTGAGCGCTTTACACCAAGAATGTAATTTTTCACATAATTATAATAATATCAAAAGGAATTTAAAATAATGTACTTAATAAAATCAATATTTTAAAAATAAATATTAATACTAAAATTTTGAATGGAAAATGGAAAGGCATAGATTTATCAACGATACTGTAGTGAGAATATTGCCTAGCGTCCAAAACCTGCTTTAAATAAAAAGAAGTCGACTTTAAACTAAGTTTAAATCAGTTTATATTGTTACATTCCCTGATTGCTAGGGGCAGACTGTTCCAAATCCTGGCGCTGCAACAGCAAACGCGCGGTCCCCGAAGGTCTTACATCTGGGGAGGAGGAATCTTGAGAAGCCGCTGTTTGTCCCTGCGCAGCGCATAGCAAAGTACACGGCGTCTTCACTTACAATAGCTCAAGCAAGTAGGGTGAAGCCATTCTCCTTAGCCTGAGCCATGAAGACCAGCATCGTGACCTGGAATAGACCTCCTCGGCTCGGGCGTAATGTTTTCCCCTTTCAGAAAACGTGTTATTCCCTTGAGTATCATTTCTTTGTTAAACGGTTGCGATCGCTTGCACATGAGAAGACACGAGAATATGGATACAACTCAAACGAAGAGTCTTATTCTCAAGGGAATGACACGTGGTCTCAAGTGGGAAATTATTTACGTCGAGCCGAGGAGGTCTATAGCCCCGGCCCCGAAAATCAAAAGGGAGCCAGTGAAGGTTCATTGAAGATTTGCACGAATCGAGGACTACAAACCAGGTTACGTGCTTAGCAGCGTTACTGAAGTTCAGCAATCTCTAAAGGCGATCCATCTGGTACTGCGAAACTCAGTTCAATAACGATTTGCAGAAGTCCAAGTGTGAGGTCATAAACGCGTTTATAAGGGTCTTAGAAGATTCCTCTGACAGAAACCCATTTTATTATCGATGTTAACCTTGGCCAGCCGACGGAATCCCGTAAACAGAATGACTCCGTCTTACTGTCATTTAGCATAAGCTGATGGTGAGCCGTCCGATCACGAGCAAGACGATAAGTCAGTTGCGTATCATCTGCATATCCTTGGACACTGAGTTAGTAGATGTTTCTTCGCGACGTGGAACAGGTGAGATGCCTACTTTATAAGTAGTATAGGTCCCAGACAGCTTCCTTGAGAAACTCCACTAAAAAGATCAAAGTCCCGGGACTGTTGCTGTTCGATGACCTCCCGCTGTTTCCTCCCATCTCGTTCCAGTTACACCAAACTCACTCTCTAATAAGTCGGCCATGATGCTGTAATCAATGGTATCGAATGCCGCACTTAAATCCAGCAGGAAAAGAAGAGTGGCTTCTTGCCTATCCACACTAGGAAGGATTTATGTCGAATTTATATAGCTTCACAGCATAATTTATAGACCACTCAGCGATTATATAGTAACCAAGCAAACCTCTTGATTTTTTCTAAAATTTATCAGGGAATCTTTGTTGCCAATATCGTATGCAATAGGCCCTTTGCAGTTAATGGTCACGTGTCTGTACTGGAATGCAAAATTTTTGTTTTTATATTAAATTGGTGATTCTTTTTAGCTACTTGTAAAGAACTGAATGAAATGAAAACGTGTGTGTTGCGAAATGTAGTTTTATTACGATCTCTCGAAACATGTTGTAGAAAGTTTGTTTGCTCACCAGTAAATTCCACCGATGCGAATCAAGATGTTCATTTGCTCTCAGTGAATTAATAACAACACAAGTCTCACCCATTGTACCAAGTTTCGTTATCATAGCATTCATTGTAATGATTATTCGCCGGAAATCGGCGAAAATGTTTGGTTCGTTAGTCACGTGATATGTGACGTCACGCCACGTCACGTGGTCTGATGATTGACAACACAACTCTCACCAATGCTACCAAGTTTCGAAACCCTAGCAATACATATACGTAGTGACAAAGATATAATAGGTCTGACAATAAACGAACAGAGGACCAAAATAATTGGACCTCGGGACAATGGTAAAAAAAGTCTCTTTTCGAATCTGGCAGAAGGAACACAATGGAGAATTACTTTTTCCTATTTTAAAAAGCAACTGTTTTGTAAATAGAATGCTATGAAAAATTTTGAATTGAAATTCATGTGTCTTTGTGTCAAGCGCACATCTATAGCGTACATCTAATTAATTTCATGTAGTGTGTTAATATAGTTTGCTTCAAAAACTTTTTGCGCTGACGGAGGGGATATTTTCTTTGACATCACTATAGTATAAGCTTCTCTAGAACTTAAGAGCGGCTGTCCGTAAAAACCAGACATTAGGTGGCAACAGTCAAAAAATCGATTTTGTTCATACTTTGAAGTTAGATACCTTATCATGTGATATTAATCCCTGTGCACTTAGTTTTGCAAAATTCTTTTTTGTTCGGGAGAAATTTGAATTTTTATGCAGATAGGCAAATATGCTAATTTGACGACTCTGAAATTGAGATAAATCACCGATCTCGTGTACGAAATACAAACAATACTTGACCTTTCTAGCCTAATTAACTTCAAATATGGTATCTCTATATGCCCCACAATGATTTTCAGACATGTAGCTGTAACGAAGAATTTCTGGAAGAATCATTTGCAAGACACAGTCTTCGTGAGCTTAAAAGTACCCTCAAAACAAGTGAGAATTTTACCATGGCCGATACAACGGAAAAGCGAAATTTTCACTGTATGTGATGTCAAGATGATATGTTCAAGACTGTGAAAATTTTTTTTTAGGTAAATGTGTTTTTAAGCTTCTACGATCGATCAAATAAGCCTAAATACGTTGTTTCAGATAGGATCGTTTTTGCATAAATTAGCAAGTAAATGACTGCCAAAATTAAAATGATATTTTCCAAATCTTTTATAAGTCGTTTGAGACCTCAATACTTAGCAAATTTGAGTGATTTTTCTAAAGAAAGAGCAGCATTTACTCTCTACCGCTTCACAAATCATGAATTYTAGGTGTAGTGATGGCCATCTACACAAAACCGCGAAAGCGTTGCGTGACCACTGGCGGCCATGACCATTGGGGATGAAGAGTTCTCCTCAGAAACCTTATATTTTTACCGGCCCAGCCACAGTACTTGAGAACTAAACTTAAATTTCGAAGCCCCTTAAACTATGCTTTCTTTCAGAACAATACCTCCCCCCCTCCCCCCCTCTTCTTTGCATAACAAATTTGTGTAATATAGGAATGCAAACTTTGCTCTTCTCAGGAACGCATCAAAAATAATAGATCGGCTCACGTTATACGCCCTCGCCATTGTGTGTGACCCCTGAGGTAACATTTGTCTAGTTTCAAAGTCGGATCCAGGATGTTTTTGAGGGGGGTCCAAAAAGTACATTCAATCAGTGACTTTATTTTTGAGGTCATACATACCGCTATATTTGTTGTAACCTTTCAGATCGCAAACTTAACAACGGGATTTGGCTTTCAAGTTATAAACCTACATAAGAGTCTTGACTTTCAATAGAAAATTATCAGTCATATATCTTATGTTAAAAAAGGGGAAATAGCGAGTTGTAAAGGGGGGTCCGCAGCCCTGGACCCTTCCCATGTTGGATCCGCTCTTGAGTTACGCGAGCGATTTCGGTAAGTTACCACATGAATCCCAAACAATATTGACTAGCGTCATATATATTGTATTAATTTAGGAAGCAAAAATTAATAACGTCGGTATAAATATTTTTTTTCTTATGAGGCGGCTTTAGTTGAAGTGGTTGTTTTTCTTGTGAAAAGATGTGTGCGGACAAGTGGCGCCAATGTAGGATTCTTTTCTTTTCTTATCCTTTTAGCTGGTGTCCACGCGTTGCTCACATCTCGTAACATGGGTTTCGAAATTGTTTCATCGTGTTCTACACAGCAAGCTCACACAGATCATAAACATCAAAGAATATGGGGTGCTGTATTAATAGGGCATTCTGTACTTCCTTGTTCATTTTGTCCAGAGCCTTTTCTGGAAGCTTGTCGTCTTCTTGTGTATCTATTTTAGCGGGGACGACCTTTTTCTTTGGCAATCGTGAAAAAACCTTATTCCACTTGTTTAGATGTGAGGGACCAATCAGGACTTAAAAAACGGACACCATCAGAATTCCTGGCTTTCCTCAAGGACTTTGAGGAAGGCCAAAAATGCTTTCAGTTCGACCCCGTTGAGCTGCGCCACTGTTGTACTTGCGGTGGTGATAAGCGATGTCATTTTTTTAATGTCRTTACAGGTAAAATGAGTGCTGGTATTATTCTTTTTTGGGGCTGAGAAAATAGGATATCATGCACTGCGATTCATAAACAAAAAACAAACAAAAATGGGAGTAGGATTAAGATTTGGGCAAAACATACTCGGGCTAACAATATAGGGATTTGAACTGGGATTTGGGTAAATGTTGAGCTTGGAAATGGGATTAGGAACCCCCTTCASGACCCTCCATATTTCATGGGAATACGCAGAGTTAATTAAGGGGGGAGTCCCCTCTATTAACTCTGGAATACGTCATCAGAGCCTTGCATAGATTTGAATGGCCTGGAGCTGCTAACACGAACGTTACACTTTTAGATAATAAAACATAAAGAGGAAGACGCACAAATCTAGTTAATAATTTATGTGGATACATTAAAAAAAACTCACATGCACACACAGTATTTATTTTCCCGCCGCCGGTGGTCACGCAACGCTTTCGTGGTTTTGTGTAGATGGCCGTCACTACACCTAAAATTCATGATTTGTGAAGCGGTAGAGAGTAAATGCTGCTCTTTCTTTAGAAAAATCACTCAAATTTGCTAAGTATTGAGGTCTCAAACGACTTATAAAAGATTTGGAAAATATCATTTTAATTTTGGCAGTCATTTACTTGCTAATTTATGCAAAAACGATCCTATCTGAAACAACGTATTTAGGCTTATTTAATCGATCGTAGAAGCTTAAAGACACATTTACCTAAAAAAAAWTTTTCACAGTCTTGAACATATCATCTTGACATCACATACAGTGAAAATTTCGCTTTTCCGTTGTATCGGCCATGGTAAGATTCTCACTTGTTTTGAGGGTACTTTTAAGCTCACGAAGACTGTGTCTTGCAAATGATTCTTCCAGAAATTCTTCGTTACAGCTACATGTCTGAAAATCATTGTGGGGCATATAGAGATACCATGTTTGAAGTTAATTAGGCTAGAAAGGTCAAGTATTGTTTGTATTTCGTACACGAGATCGGTGATTTATCTCAATTTCAGAGTCGTCAAATTAGTATATTTGCCTATCTGCATAAAAATTTAAATTTCTCCCGAACAAAAAAGAATTTTGCAAAACTAAGTGCACAGGGATTAATATCACATGATAAGGTATCTAACTTCAAAGTATGAACAAAATCGATTTTTTGACTGTTGCCACGAAATTTCGAATTTGTCTGGTTTTTACGGACATCCGCTCTTAAGGAAAATTTTAAGGAGAATTTATCTGAAATTTTATTTGTGTTGTGAATTTATCGTGAAGAGTAAACCAAAACAAGCTATTGCTCATGACGTTCATGTAAAATTCTTAGAAATAATCGCTTCGAAACCATCGCTATCTTCTCGGCTTGAAATTCTTGTTTACGAAATTGATAAATTAATATTTCTAGTTCGGCTGTCTTACAGCAGTCAACAAATAGAGCATGCGTAGACACAAACCTCTGCCACGTGATCCGCTAGCTCCGTCTTTTCATAATCACTTGACAACATAGTGACATTGATTGACATCTGGTAAATGATAATTGATTGCACTATGGATGTGAACCCCATAGCAGATGCCCGCCAAGGTTTCTTGGGTAAGTTCCTGAAGACCCCTGAGTACTATTGCGCAACTTTGTCATTTTGTCGCGGAGAAAAACAAAAAAACAAAGGCATTTTACGACTGCGATATCACAGGTACACCAGTAATTAACGCTATATCTCGCTATATGTCATATTATGGTAATATCTATTTCACGGTTGATTTTAATGATTACAACTCGCAGCATTTCACTTTCTATTAGAAACGAATAGTTAGTCATATTTGTTCTCATAACCTTTTTTTATTGGTCCAGTTTAAACCATACTCATGATCAGTTGCAAAACTTTCAAATCTAATATCTACATGCTTGGCTTTAATTTTGTATATGATATGCATGGATATAATAAAATGGTCTATTTATACGAGTACGAATTCTTCTTCATTTTCCAGAAAGGCTCTTCTTTACCTTTAATAAATGCTGTCAAAAGCCCATTTATACAACATTCAGATTGAACAATGGCCATTCGTGTCGTACCTTACCCTATACCTAAAACATGCGAATATGATTTTTTTAAAAGCTAAAAATGTTCTTAACACTTTACATTTTTCATTTATTACACTAAAGCATTGCTTAGATTCCTTACGATTCTGGTCTTTGTACAGCATGGGAAGCAGTTTGACTGAGTAGGCTTTGTACCTTGCTTTAAGAGGTCCTTGCTTTCAGAGTATTGTTGACGAGGTTGGTTGGTTGCCGGTTGATTGGTGCAATACTTAGGTGCTGTGAGTGATGAGTGAATGTTACGCCACAAAATGTAATAACTCGCACAAAATGTAATAACAACGCAAAATGTAATAACTTTTGACGCAAAATGTAATAACTTCAATAACGCATTTTAAAATCAATGTTTACTGAATGGACGTAAACGACACAGTAGAACCGAACAGAACAGAATAGAGAATCGTCTTGGGAAAAAACTGGTTAGACTACATTCAAATTACGAGATATTAAACAAATGCCGCGACTTTTTGCTAAGATTAAATGCTAATTTTTATGTATTTTTTTATTGCTAGTTGATGAACATTCTAATTAATTTATGTTATTTTGGTACGTTTTTTACCATAATGTGGTAATTTTTTAAAAGTATTATTTACTCAATAAAATGATTAATAAGTTGACAATAATGAATAATAAACTAGCCCTTATCCATGAGACATGTCGGGATTCAATAGCATAGTTTTAACATACTTCAATTATTAAAATAACTGGAGTATGTTGATCCTGAGTTGGCTTGATATTGGTGATATATATGAAGAGTTGCTGATTTTCCCTCACATATACTACTGTTGGAGTGAGTGGACTTGCCTTGTAAAATCCACACGTTGAAATCGCGTATTCAACATGAATATTTATCTTAACGGTTCATGTGAAATTCAAGTTAAAGTCATCTGGTATGGTTCGTATACCGAGCAAATATTGATTTTCTGGATATTTAAAATGCGTTATTGAAGTTATTACATTTTGCGTCAAAAGTTATTACATTTTGCGTTGTTATTACATTTTGTGTCGTAACAGTGAATCATGTTTGATATGAACACATATTTTATAACACTTTTTATAAAAGTGATGAAATGTATTAATTTCGAAGTCTTGAATTTCTCACACTTGTATGGAAAACCCCACACTAGCGCTTATTGAACTTGATGAGTACGTCTTTGTCAGGAGCAAGCACTCCTCTTGTCACTGGTTTCACGTCATTCATGGATTCAAGTTGAAATAGCTGCATGATCTGAAACAATAAATTTGTGTTTTAGCAATTGGGAATCATAATTTAAAAGGTGCGACGAGCGACCTTGTCCTTCAGTGTAAAAATAACGCAGAAAATCCGCCCCTTAGTAGCGCAGTAACTCCTAAGGAATGGAAGCCTTCTTAAAAGATAAATGTTCTGAATACGAACCCTTGAGAAAAGTAGGTACATCTCCATTTCAGCAACTCTACGACCTGGAAAACAATAATTGTTATGCCTTGTAAATAAAACTAGCATCCCTTTTTACTTCCAAACAATTTCTTTTAATTGTCATAGCTGTGTACAGGTAAAGAGGAAATTTGAAATTAAAAATTCCTAAGTTATGTTCATCACCCTTTTCCTTATGATCGTAGACTATAATAAGAAAAAGAGAGAGAGACCAAATTCCTCTTACTGCGAAATTTAGTTAATTATAAAAACCCTAAATTAAATCGCAAATGTATAACAAAGGGACGAACTTGCTTTAAAATAATGGCGCCCACTGACACCTTTTTGGCAATTTTACCAAATTCTCTTCTACTGCGGGAGAGATTAGTTAATTGTGACAACGCCGATTTGAAACGAAGTTTTTAAAAATCTTATTTTTGTTAAGCTGGGCGAAGCCTTTAATCAAAAAGAGGCTATCTAGCTAGAGAGTTCTTACCCAAGCACATGCGAACACCATATCCAAAGGGAAGAGATGAAAAAGGATGGTAGTCTGGATGGGATTTGTCACCTCTCAGCCACCTCTCTGGTTTGTAGGACAGGGGATCATCAAACAGGTTAGCATCTCGACCCATCGCGTAAATAGGAATACGAACCATTGCCTGCCACGGAAACAGATACATCATTTATCTCTTGTATATTTGTTACATTAACGATCAAGAGCGAAAAGAAATAGAATATTATAGACATTGATAGAGGTTTTCCAATAGAGATAAAAGTATAAACTTGTTGAGCTATATGTATGATATCATTATGCTATACTAATGTATTCTAGGTCAGCAGGAAGTTGTGGATAAATTGAATCGCCGTTAAAAGCTTTGTGAAACTGACATTTCGGACGTTAGTCCTTCGTCGGAGAAAGACTAACGTCCGAAACGTCAGTTTCACAAAGTTTTTTACGGTGATTCAATTTATCCACAACTTCCTGCTGTTTTATTCAGAAACACCGACGCAGTCCACGCTAGTACTCTACTAGTTATCACCATTTACTCTGGATCAGTGCCTGCAACAATAACACCCCCACCCCCTCTTTATCTTTCTATTCTACTGCCAGTTACATCCTCAGTAATCTGTCAGTAATCATATACGACGAAATCAAATAAATAAATAAATAAATAGGCAAAAGAAACGTTTTCCGAAAGGTTTTCCGTAAATATTATTTTGATGGAAACCTTGATGTCCAAACAGAGTACGCAAAATATTATTCCAGAAAAAAAAAAGATGTGAAGTCTTCGCGGCCAAGTTTGTGTCTTTTAACAAAAGGTTTTTTATAAGCATCAATTGTTCATTGCACCACGATGGCCGCAAATTTTTTGTCTTTAACACTTTTGGGAATGTTTAAATATTTGTTTACAGTAACTGACCAAAGTTTCAGCGATATCCGTGTACGTGCAGAAAAAAAAAATCATTTTAAATTCAATTGTTATTCAAAATTTTCGAATTCCCATGATTTCCTTAGCTTTCAAAAAACGAAACACAAGAACTATATATAAGATACGATAAAGAGAATGGACGCTGTACATGATTCTAACATCCACGACCTTAAAATAACTACAAAAGTTCTGCCTTTGTACGTAACGATATCTACAAATAACTAGACTACAAGTGACTTGGATGACTACTTTAAATCACGGAGGTCCCTTCTGTCCATCCTTCATCATAACTAACCAATATCAGGATGTAAAAGAACCACTAAGGACGTAAAGAAACCCTGTGACCACCCTCAGTGCCTGTTCCTCAAAATAAACATCTCTCATGAAACCATAACTCATTGTAAAGCTCCTTTGATCATATCCATATAGAACAAATCATAAATCATAATTACTTACATTTTTTGGGATGTTATAACCCATTATTGGGACATCTCTGTCAAATATACGAGCATTTTCAATTGCAGCGGGAAATAATCTAAAAATTAAAAGATTAATTAAGATTAATTACCATATTGCATTGCTTTCGGAGGAGAATTGATCTATCGGTTTATATTATTATTGCTATACTCCTTTATAAAATATTATAAAATAACTGTTATGAATGTCGCGTTCTGATTGGTTTGGAGCGCGTGCTTTATGAGAGCACATTGCACGCGCGCGCACTTTCCGTTGCGTCATTCCTATCTATTATTGTAATTTGTATTTTATAAAAGAAATAAGAAACTTGCTTGCTGTGCTGTGTGCAGTCATAAAGCACTTGGGGGTTGGCAGAACACTCGAGAAGTGTCAAGAAGCACACCGCTACGCGGCGTGCTTCTCCTAACACTTCTCTCGTGTTCTGCCAACCCCCAAGTGCTTTATGACAGCACACAGCACGCGCGCGCGTTTTCTATTTCTTCAGTACATGGTAGACTTGATGATCATTCGAACGCACGTATTGAATTATTGAACTAGTGACAAAAAGAACATTCATGAAATACTTTAACAATTGTTAGCAAGAGTAAAGTTTAAACGTCGAATTTCGCGTACCGTATCTAATGCAAATGAACAAAACCAATTGCTTGAATCATTTGCATTAGATTCAGCACATGTGAAATTCGAAGTTTATGAAATTTTTTAGAGCTTTATTGGTAATATTCTTTGGTAGAATAATTACATGATAATTTGGCTTCAAAAATCTGTCCGTTTTATGATTTGTTGTTCTCTCTAACTTCATATCAATCCTCTTGAATGAGTCAGATTGGAAACCAAACAATTAATTACCTTTATTTATCTCTCAGAAATTGTATACTTTTATAGCAAAATATTGTATAGGCCATGCAAAATTTTTTAGCTAGCGCGTATTGATGGTTTTCAAGTCGCCATGTTGGATGAATTTAAAGAAAGATTCGTCATTAGTCCTCGGTATTCTCTTGCGAGAGATTGAAAACCAGCAACCCTCCTGATAACTTATGCTTGCACTGTAGAGTAAGCTGAATATTGAAAAGCATGAATACAGTACCTTAAAGTTTCCTTGATACATGCTTTCAGGTAATGCATTTTATTGATTGTGCTTGGTGTAGCTATTTCTCCTGGCTTCAGCACGGAGGTCACCTCCTTGTGCAGTCGTTCTTGTACTTCTGGGTTTCTTGCTAGGTTGTACATTGTCCACAAACTTGTGTTTGATGTCTTGAAAAGAAAATAAATCAATAAAAATAAGGCTAGCGTGTGTAGCGGTAGTCCATTTACCTGAACTAGAAATCAGGTGTTTAAATTTTCTGAGGTTTTGTGATATTTAAAAAACGATTAGGGGTGTTTTATCAGGCTCAAAAATACGGGGCGTAGCCAAGTTGTTGACCTGATGTTTACGTTCCTGTTAACTTTTAAACAACACATGTAATAATGCTATGAAAATTAAATTCCATGCAAAATCAACAAAACTTGCAGTCTCCTACGGTGTTGCTATTAGTTCCGTCAAGCGACACTCACTCCCCTGGGTAGAGTACAAAACTTGGCGATTTTGAAATATGTTCGAAAATATTTCACGATTAATTATATTACGAAATTGGCTATAATTTTACGGTTGACAATTTTAAAACGTCAAATGTACTATATTTATGCAAAATGCCATGCTTTTCCCATATTGACTGTTACTTACAGTGTCGACAGCTGCCATTAAAATCTCTACAAGATTGGCTGTGATTTCTTTGGAGGATAGTTTCTTGCTAGCAACAATAAATGTCAAGAACTCTGCCCCTTTATCCTCATCGATCTCTCTAGCATTTTCAGCAATTTCAATCATTTTTTCTTGTACTAAAGCATCTCCAAAGTCATACATGACATCCATGGCATCATAGAAAGCCCTGCAGTAAGAACAGGTACCCATTATAATATAGTTGATATCGTATTTAAGAATTTGTGACATAATTGTGGCAATATTCATAAATTATGTCAATAACATTTTTGTGCCCCTTCAACTCAAACATAACAGATTTTTAGTGAGCCTTCCCCAGCAGGGACCCAAACCAGGCAAATGTTTATGCCATTTCTATATAATTTAAGCTTTAGAGAAATGGGAGGCCGTTTTTGAACGTGCCTAGTAGCCTTTAATTACCGCGTTGATATTTGGCTGAATGGATTGACGGACATATTTCAGCTTACATATTTTAGGTAGAAAGCAGTCTCGGCTTTTTGAGGGTAAAACATTATAATGATAAATAGCCGTAAGTTATCGATCAGAATCGCTTTATTTCTTTATTTAACCTTTGTTTTTTGCTTAGAAAATGGCCAGTAAATCACACTGATTCATTTTATTTTTTTTAGTATACATTGATATATACTTATCTAGTAATATAAAATATATTTAAATTTGATAAATTCACATACAAATATATGACTCCTTTTTAAATATTTAAAAGCGGAGCTTTCGCGCGGGTCTAGCGGGGCACCATACTGCACGATACAAATTTGTAATCCATCCAGTTGATTTTTCATGGCTACGTACGTCCATGTACACAACACAGGGATCCCGCTTGATGCAAAGCAAAAAGCAAAACTACTCACAAACCCGGGTCTCAAATGCACAGAAAAAAAACATCGCTTCGGGACAAATATTACCCCAACAACAGAAACTTTTTGTAGTCAAAGATGGATCTAGAAGTATTCATCAAGAATTGAGGTGTGGATTTTTTTTAGCGAACAATCGTACATATTTTTACTTTCTATGAAAAGCAGTTTCGTTCGACAAATCGACAAATCAAAGACTTTTAATATTTCTATAGATAATTTATCTTAATGCTGGATAAAATATAAAAAGAAGTACATATTACAAAACGTTTCTCCCTATATTGAGTTCATAAATCTTCAAGAATTCGGTTTCTTTAAACCAAATATCGTAGGTTTTTACGTACATAAAAATGCAGTTTGGTTTGCCTCCTATTGGTTCCTAACGGCAAACCAAAGAAGATTTTCATCTAAATTTTCTATATTTCTATAAATAATTTATTTAAATTTTGAATGAAATATTAAAATGAATACCTATTTGCATTAATAAATCGTTCTCAGTTGTTTTTGTCAAACTTAACWGAATATAAACTTAATTTTTCGAAAACTGTTTTTCCACTTCTTTTCACACATGAAAACAGATGAAAACTGGTAAAATGGAATCTCAAAATCTAGTAAGCTTAGTTTTTTTTAGTTTCTCGAATAATAGTTAAGCTATATGAAAGGAACATAAGACTAAGTTTTCAAGTTATAAACGAGCAGGAAACCTTCATGAGGTCCTAAGTCTTCATCTAAACTTGGATGCACCTTTATTCTGATAAGGTTGTCCATATTAGTATTCTTTATATAAAGAATACTAATGAAGAGGACTTTATGGGGTTTAAAGGTCCATGCACGTGACGTGTATGGTCGCTCCAATAAGCTTTTTCATAGTTTAAGAATCGATTCCACTGCGCATGCGATTTTATCCAAAATTTCTCACCTTCTTTTGTTTAATCAAGAACAAAAGAAGGTTTAGACAAAAGAAGGTGAGAAATTCGGGATAAAATCGCATGCGCAGTAGAATCGATTCTTAAACTATGAAAAGGCTTATTGTTTCAAATGCTCATTAATTATTAATGAGTTTTTAAATAAATAATTATGATAAAATAATTTTTTTTAAACTGATAGATGAGGCTGTAAGCCGTGTGGGATGGGCTCGGAAATGAAGAACATGCTTAATAGGAAAATTAAGAGCCTATTATTTATTTTTCAAACTGACAAATTTGGTTTGAAATATATATACGGTTGAAATAAAAAAATAAGGTTCATATAAAAACATAAAATTCTCCATATGGATAACTAAACATCATTATGTAAAAGAAATAAAAGTAGGCTTATATTTGGCTCAACCTTTTTTAACCAGTTTTCAAGTCTGTTTTGTAGTTTTAATTTGTCCTTAAAAGGTTGCAAATCTCCAAAATTTGGATTTTAATGAAAGACTTTCAAGGAAAATTTGACTAAACTTGATATTTTATTAAACTATCTATAGTTATCTTTCGTTTTTCAAATAGAATAACCAGGAATTCACAGCTTAAAAAGGTCGGCCATGGAAAATTCGTCCAAGAATTTTTCAACGACAAAACTAGCCCCTGGGGTGGCTGGTGGTGGTGTTGTGTACATGTGACAAAATTCCTAAGTGGGAGATAATATAGTAAGGTCGAAAATAAAGGAAAAAAGTGAAGAAAACGATGTAGTGCAATTCAATTTTTTTTTTTTTTTTACTTTATGGTTTCATTACGGGGATAATTAATATCTACATCTTGAAAAGAAATAAAAATAAAAGAATTGAAGATCTTATTTTCACATTTCAGTTTTATCTAAATTGGGCTTCCTGCCTGTCCCTATTAGCAGAAGCTCCACTTTTAGGTAGTGGCTAAAATTATATATTAATTTATATATTTTATGTACAGCAGTGTTCATGATAGATTTGGAATTTTTCAGTCACATAAATTATAAGCAAAATTACTTGTTTGTAATTAATGTAGTCATAATTAATCAATATAATAATATATTTTATATACATATATATAATATTTAATAATCCTAAGATTGAGTGAACCTTACCTCAGACGCTTAGTTTTGTACATTTTTGCCATCCATTCAGGATACAGAAGCAACTTAAGGAATGAACTGAACACTGTCTGCACAGCATTGATGAAGTGTTGAGCTTCTTTTGATGGAGGCTTCTCAAAAGAACCAAATCTTTTTTCAAATAGAACTGTTCCAATAGCTGTGAGTATAAACATGTTCGTAATTCAATAAATAGTGGGCACTAGTTATACAGAAAAAAAGGTTAGTGGATGTTCTGTTGCATGTTGCATATTGTGATAGCTGTAAACATAAACATGTTTGTAATGATAGCTGTAAACATAAACATGTTTGTAAAATTATTCAGTAATAACTGAGCACTTATACTATTTCAAAAAAGGTTGATGGATATTTTGTTACATAGTCACAAAGTCGAAATGCATGCAGAATTCAATCAACAAAATGTTACAACCTTTACCAAACTTTGCCTGCACCTTATTCCTGCATATTTTCTTCTGAGCTTATGTGAATTCAATCAACAAAATGTAACAACCTTTATCAAACTTTGCCTGCACCTTCTCCCTGCATATTTTCTTCTGAACTGATACTATTCACATATAAATATAATACATTTCAAACTTAGTAAGCAACATGCAATAAGCAGCATGCAACGTGCAACAAGTCCAGTCACCAAACTTTTTTTATGAATTCTGAGCTGTATGCACAAAAAGTCTGGTGCAGGACTATATATAACCAACTTAAAGAATATACAGCCAGAACAATATACAAAAATTTTAATTCCTTATCTGAACTTATTATTAGTTTTTATAGTTAATTAAATTAAATTTTATAATGATATTGAGTTAAAACCGGGAATCTGTGTTAATTAACTATTACACAATCATGAAATTTTTCTTACATTCCAAAGACCACTTGAAGAGCTCATTCTGTAGGTTTGGGACAGTCTTGTCTTGTGAAGACTCCCTCAGTTCCATCACCCTTCCAACAAAGTCTTGCATGACACCTGTTAACTCGGGTGCATACTCGCTCACCACCTTGGGCTTGAGCATTTTTTTACTTAAGGCTGAGCGAGCTTTATACCAGTCTTCTCCATGTCTGTGTATTAATCGATTGAAGCAGACATTTAAACATTTTAAAGTATTAAATATTGTAAATAAAGTGCCCCCATTTGAATCTTAAAACATTATATTTAATCCCTAACAGTGTCAGATCTAGGGGGTCATGTCCCCTTTTAAAGTCCTAGATCTGCCACTGATAAGGGCTGATCCAGGAATCTTTAATTAAGGCTGAATGAGCTTTATATCATTATTTTCCATGTCTTTGTATGAAAAGTTGAAGCAGACAATGGAAACATTTAATAGTACTGAATGTTGCAAATATAGGTTTCCTGTTTTGGGGAATTTTTGGAGGGTTTAAATGGAGGGGGTTTGGATCGTCTCCCCCTCCCCACCCCTCCCTCAAAAAATTTGCCTCTGACGGAAATAGCTCCACAGTCATCTATTAATTATAGCATGTCATTTCTTTAGATAAATCACACTTCAGCAAAACCGGGCCACAGATCTTTCATGTACAAACTACCCGTTCTGTCTTGCATGAGAAGCCGACTAACATGTACACTTCAAAAAATTATGGACAATATAATGAACGTCTTGCGTCTGGACTGGCTTATATTAAATAGTTTCAAAACTCATATTCTTGTTTTTATTTATTTTTGATCACTGTTGCCTAACGTGTTACTCCTTGGTTAGATTTTGCCTTTAAAATATATCCGCAAAGACATTCACGTCTATAAATTTACTTACAAAGTTAAAACACCTTCGCTGTGAGCTCGGTCTTTCTTGTACATCTGCCATATTGGGGAAGAGGGTTCTCTTGCTGGATACTCTCCTTCATTTCGGAACACTTGTTGAACCACATCGGGATCAAAGACATACACTGTCTTGTGAGGCCCAAGAATCTCTCGACAAATGGGACCGTGTTTGTCTCTTGATTCTTGCTGGGTTAGATGCATTCGAGATATTCCATCTTTTAAAAGAAAGTTGTAAAGAGACTTGAGGGTTCCCGAACCTGGGATTTCGTTGTACGATTTGACTTGATCTTCGCTTGCTGTGGTTGTATTTGTTGCTTGAAGGCGAACTGAAGTCTTTAATGCTGCACACGCTGGTCTAGCGAGTGTGAAGTTCCTTAACCTGGGAAGCAGGCTTGTAGGTCGGTAAATGAAAGCCATGTTTGGTTAGATAAAACTTTTGCTTGATCTTTATGGTATTTCGAGATGTTTGCCAGCATCACAAGAAATGACGCCATAAACGACACGAATAAATAAACGTTGCGTGACGATCATTGTTATAGCTGTAAATCAAAACAAAGGACACCACAGGTATTCCAAATTAATTTTTCGAGGGTTCCCTGTTTCTCTTCTCACTTCGAGCTGGGCTTACTTTGAACTTGTACATTCAGTTCAGAGGATAGTGCTTAAGGTGCCTATGACCCCTAACTCAATGTTTTCAGCATTGATTCTACATGAAGTTAAAAGTTAAATACTAAAATATTTTTATATAATTTGAGTGATGCATCATGGAGTGTGATGTCATAGTACGCATTTGGGTTTATTTGTCATCATTTTAAAATCAAAACACTGATTACTATGAGGAAACAAATTTGAAATAACCTTTCTATAAACCCTGAGTAAGATAATTATGTTTTATACAGGATATCTTACTACCCCAGTAAATTTTTGTATATTTAATAATGCCTACAATGACATCACGCTAATTGATACTGGAAGTATAAACCTGTATATCTCCAAGATGCATCACTCAAATCATATAAAAATATTTTACTATTTAACTTTTAACTTCATGCCGAATCAATGCTGAAAACATTGAGTTAGGGGTCATAGGCACTTTAAGCTTCGTTCTATTGTATAACTTGGGATCTTTTCATTCATTCATTCATTTATTTTTTCTATTGAATTACGTAAACTGTGTCCGTTACGGACGGATTCGGACAGGGAAAAAGAATAATAAATTTAAATATTGGAAAAAGGAAACCATCAAAGGAACCCAGGGGTGTACGCTTCAGTTGTTTAATTAACTAACCAGATCATGCTCGGCTCAGTACTTTTATTGTTTACAGAAAATACTGCTTTGAATAACTGAATCAAACCATGGATAGTTAACCAAAATAATCTATTGCCCATTTTAAAATTTACGAGTTCTTAGAATTCCTCGCTATTTCTCGCAAGATTTTTACAAGTCCCAGGGGGGAAAATGGCCGACTCGACCTACTTCATGGTTTCACCAGATGTCGTAGGTTGGTATCATCTGCAAACAACCGAGGACTAGACCCTGGGGCCGGGTAAACTGGGATACCTGGGCGGCTCTAAGAATCTAAAGATGAAGTGAAAATAAGTTGTTAAAGGTTTCTAAAGACAGTGATATAGTGTACAGTGTATTATGTGCAGTGAAAGCCATTCTGGGGGAAAACGTTTTTGAATTCCAATAATATGAATCCAAGTTTTAGCATAAGTTGTCATATCTTAGACATCACTAAGCCTCCTTTAAGAACTAAGAATCGCTCGAGAATTTCCTAGGAGAAGCAAGTCGCTGAATTTCGAATTCTGCTAAATCAAAATGCTCCATTTAAAAAGTTTCAGCACGATTTGAGGCCGTTTAGTGGATTTTTTTTCCAAGTCCGCTCTTCTCTCCCAAAATTTCTTGTTACTTTCTCGCTTTTCTTTTTATATTGACGTAGTTTTTAAAAATAAAAAGTATGCGAAACAAAACTTTTAGGGGAAAAAAGGTATGAATTTGGATACTACCGATGAATGCCTCTAAGGCTGCGTTCGCAATGTATGGCAGAGGGGGGGAGGGCAGGTGAAATTGAGGGGGATCGGGAAAATTTGGTAGGGAAAAGGAGGGTGGGCAAATTTTTATCAGAACAATGGGGGGATGGACAATTTTTGGAAGAAGCTACAAGCCTTGCTTATGGG